TTTAAATAAGCTTGGCTACTTTGGAAAAGAAAATTTTGAAAAACTTAGTTTCTATGAAGACTGTGTTTTAGGGAAACGAAATAAACTTCCTTTTAAAACTGGAGTCCAAAAATCCACTTCAATTTTGGACTATTTACATGCTGACCTGTAGGGTCTAGCATTTGTGAATACCTTGAGTGGCTATAGATTCTACTTGCTTATAGTAGATGATTTTTCAAGAAAAATATGGACTTTTCTCTTAAAACACAAGTCTGACACTTTTCAAAATTTTGAGCAATGGAAATTAATGATTAAAAATCAAACTAATAAGAAAACCAAAGTACTTAGGACTGACAATAGCCTTGAATTTTGCAATCTGGAATTTGACTCTTTTTGTAAGGAAAATGGAATTCTGAGGCATAGGACTGTGACATACACTCCTCAGCAAAATGGTATTGCTGAAGGATGAACATGACCTTATTAGAGAAGGTCAGGTGTATGATTCACTGTCCTGGTATTCCAAAATTCTTTTGGGGAGAAGCTTCAAAAACTGCCACATATACCATTAATAGAAGTCCTTCAAGTGCCATTGATTTTCATATTCCTGAAAAGTTATGGTCTAAAACTGTGCCTGATTATACTAGACTTAAGGTTTTTGGCTGNCCTATTCCCATCAAAATGAAGGAAAACTTGAACCAAGGTACTTGAAATGTATCTTCTTGGGATATGAGGAAAGGACCAAATGGTACAGACTTTGGGCTAAACGTAAAAATGATTTTCAAGTTATTATCAACAGAAATGTTATCTTTAATGAAAATGACATCCCCTACAAGACCCAATCTGAAACAGTGTCTAATAATATTGCTCCTATAATTGAGACTATTCTTGAAAATAAATAAGATAACAACAATGATTTGATTGAGGTGGAGTCCACTTAATCTGGAGCTAATTAGGATCTGAGTGAATCTGAAAATGAAAGTGAACTCTTTAACCCTTCCTTGGCTGACTACCAACTGACTAGAGACAGGGGTAGAAGGAACGTAATTCCTTCTACCAGGTTTAGCAGTGATGATTTTGTTACTCTGTTCACTGCTCTTGATTCTTTGAATGCTGAACCTTCCACTTTTGAAGAAGCTGTCAACTGTTCTGAGTCTAAGTTGTAGAAAGAAGCTATTAATGAAGAAATGGACTCTCTGGTCAAAAATAGGACTTGGATCTTGGTTAATAAACCTGAAAATCAGAAATTAGTTGACTGTAGGTGGATTTTCAAAATTAAAGAAGGGGATTCTAATATAGGAGGTAAAAGATATAAAACTAGACTTGTTGCTGAAAGCTTCGCTCAAAAGGAAGGAGTGGACTATAATGAAATATTTTCTCCTGTTGCTAAATACACCTCCATTAGAATTCTGCTTAATTTGATTGTTTATTTTAACTGGGAACTTGATCAGCTTGATGTGAAAACTGCCTTTCTGAATGGGGATCTTGAGGAAACCATTTATATGAGACAACTTGTTGGTTATGAAGTCAAATCTAATGTTCATAAGGTCTGCCTGTTGAAAAAATCTCTCTATGGCTTAAAGCAAGCTCCCAGTGGTATAAAAAGTTCAATTCCTACATTGAGACATTGGGTTTTGTTAAGAGTAATTATGATTCTTGTCTCCTCTTCAAAGGGTCAGAAGGACCTGAATCTATTTAGCTATTTTTATATGTTGATAATATGTTACTTGCTTATCAAATCAGATCTGATATAGACCTTATTAAATCAAAGTTAAAATTTGAGTTTGAAATGAAAGATTTAGGGCAAGCTAAAAAGATACTAGGTATGGAAATAGAAAGGAACATATTTGACTGCATGTTATGGCTTAGACAGAGTTCTTACATTAAGAAAATACTTGAAAAATTTTCTATGATTGATTGTAAACCTGCATCTTTGCCTATTGCCAATCATTTTAAACTATCTAGTGAACAGTTTCCTAAACCTGATAAAGAGTTTAGAAGAATGGAAAATATTCCCTATGCTAATACTGTTGGATCCATAATGTATTGAATGGAAAATATTCCCTATGCTAATACTGTTGGATCCATAATGTATCTTATGGTCTGCACTATACCTGATTTAGCTCACGGTATAAGCATCTTAAGTAGATTTATGGCCAATCCTCATGAAACACATTGGACTGCTATGAGATGGATGTTAAAATACTTGAAAGGCTCAACTGGTTTAGGTATTTTCTTTAAAAAATGTGATGAAGACATTGTTTTGAAAGGCTATACTGATTCTGATTTTGCTGGAGATTTAGATAAGAGAAGATCTACCTCTTCTTATGTTTTCACTTTGTGTGATGGTTGCATAAGCTGAAATCTCAATTGCAAAAACTTGTTGCTTTGTCTTCTACACAGGCCGAATACATAGCTGCCCGTGATGCTGTTATGAAAAGTCTTTAGTTAAGAGGTTTACTCAATGAAATTAGTTTTGTAAATGATTATGTTAAAATTTACACTGATAATCAAAGTGCTATCTATCTAAGCAAAAACCTCATGTATCATGATCGAACTAAACATGTTGATATTAAGTTTCAATTTGTGAGGAACATGGCTGAAAAATGTCTGATCAGCCTAGAGAAAATTTCAACTGAGTTTAACCCCTCTGATGTGGGAACCAAAGTTTTACCTTTAAATAAATTTAAGAACTGCTTGAATACTCTAAACATTACTGATCTGCAGTAATATTTATAATAATCAAGTAGAACTATCTGAGAATGAATTCTAACTTCTCTGTTTTTATTTTTACAGGTTAAATAAGAGCAAATGAAACCTGTTGTCTCTCTAGTACACTAGTCACCAAGAATTATTCAGCAAGGTGGAGATTATTATGTATTGTGGGTTGCCTCATAATTCTTTGGCCCAGTTGGTTGTGTTGGGCCTGTGCTATGTCGATTTCTTTGGCCCAGATTTTATGTCCTTTTGGTTCTGAGATCTGGCCCTACACTTTGCCAGATTCCCATCGTTGATGAAGACGTTTGACCTCCTGCCTTATAGTGGTTCTCGAAGCTTCATTTTCGGTAACTGTTTAGTGCGTTTTGAGATAGTTCTCTGTGTGTGATTAGGGTTCATCCCTTTCCTTCTGCCGTTTTGTAAATTTGAGTGATTTCTGTGTAATTCTTAGTGATAAGGCAGTGAGAGCACTTGATCTATACTTTGTGAGATTGTGTAATTTCTAAGTGATTCTGAGGCTAGAACAAACTGAAGAAATCTCTCTGATTTCTTCAAACATTGTAATATGTTTCTTGGTGATTTTAGTGAACTAGAACGTAATCCGTTGTGTGGATGCTCAACTGGTGCGTAGGCCGAAGGCTGAACATCCGGACTCTTTTGGGTAAAAAATCATTTGTGTTGATTCTTTATTTTTGTGATTTAACTGTCTAAATTGTGCTTTTTGTGAACTCTGGGACCAACAGCTTTGTTGGGGGCAAAGAATTAATTTGGAAGGTGTTGCTTCTTCTGTGGAAATCTTGTCCAAAGACAATCATTTGGCAATCCCGCATGTTTCTGTGCCTAATATACATTACATTGACTGGAGGGAATCGAAGAAAAGAGGTTTTAAAGGTGTGGCCTTCGATAAGTATAATACTACTATTCTACCTTACTCTTTGAGCTTTTGGACGCTCCCTTGGATCATCCATAGACCATATCAGGTTTTTTTATGCTGGAGGCCGATGGTAGAGCTATTGATTTCTTACCAGAGATTTGGAAGAAAGGAATAATCCTCAAGGATGGAGGGAGGGTGCGGAGGTACGCGGGTGACGCATTGATTTTGGTTTTGTTGGTTGGGAAGAAAATGAACATATTCTTCTTTTTATTATTTTATTGGGGAAATTACAATTTTACCCTTTTAAATTTGACCAAATTGTGGTCAAATTGATTTTTTTTGGTCTCACAGTCCATATGTCCTCTAGCTACAATGGAATATGAAAGGTTTGAGACTACAAGTGCAAAAATAAAAAGTTTTTGAGTGTAGTATGCAACGAATTAAAAAGTCTGGATTTCCAACTGCAATTCTCCTTACAAAATGACAAGATGAGATAAAATTTGTGCCGGAAAAGGTTTTTCAGTACATCAACCATTTAAGCTACTAGATTTCCAGCTATTTCAAGATTTGCTATGCACCAGAATGGCAATAAATTGTTTAAATTTTGATAGGAACCGCAATAAATTGTTAGTTTTTTAACGGGTAGTATGGGGATTTAATAGAACAAATACTATAATCATCTAACCATGAAAAGGGGAGGGGGGGGGGGGGGGGGGGCCGGGGGGGGGGGGTTACGCTACTTTTGGATCTTCTTTGCGTCTCTACANGGGGGGGGGGGGGTGGAGTCCGTTAGGCTCCATTTAATTCACTTCTTTTACAACACATATTCATCACAAACATAACAAATTACAGCAAATTGATTGAGGATCCTACCAAATTCTAAGGTTCAAGCAGTTGATTTTCCTTGCGCAGCTGCTTGCTGACATTCTTCCCCACCAGAAGTCTCGCAGTAGCATACATTCTTTTATGGCTTTGACGTGCTATACAACGAGAAGGGTCTACCAGAAGTCTCGCAGTAGCATACATTCTTTTATGTCTTTCACGTTCTATACTACGAGAAGTGTCTTAGCATTCACATATTGACGGTGAGGCAACTCCATTTGGAAGCAGCAATACCAGTAAAGAAGTCCTGTATTTCCATTGGATTCAGTGAAGAAACATAAATAAAAAAGTTCAAGCCAAGCTGATGGTAATAGGATCCCGGATCAACAATTCAACTAGTGACAACAATCCAGCACAAGAAGGAAAGTTGAGTCCTGTTGTTTGTGAAGTTGAGATGGAAAGGAAAAAACGACGGTTTTACCTGCAATGCATCACTTCATCATGAGGTCTAGTCGACAGATGAAAAAGGTCATATAACCTGATGTATAACATCTTAATAACAGGTATGAAGCGACAAGGACAGAGGTTGATGGTAATTTACAAAGCAGGTTCAGGCACTCGAAGCATAATCTCTCAGCACAAGTTCCACTTCTTCTACCACTCCCAGCTTCCGAAACCACCTTACTAGTAACTCAGAAGCTTCTCTTCCAATCATAACACCGTCCTTTTCCAATTTTATCAAGAAGTCCAGTGCATTATTCAATTTGTTTTCCTTTTCATAAGCAGCCAGCACCAAAGCCACACATTTGTCATTAGGTTCAAGATCAGCTTTTCGCAGATTGTCAAATGCAATGACAGCCTCATGTGTTTGACCAGCCATTACATAGGCATTTATGAGAAGCCCACAGACCTTGACGTCGGGAATGATTCCGGCCAATTGAATTGCATTGAAAACCCTTTGAGCTCCTCGACTATCACTGATCATAGAGTATGCTCTCAGCAGCGCTTTATAAACTTCTCTTCCTGCATAGATTTCTCGAGTTTCCATTTCTCTAAGTAAACTCTCTCCATGGTCGAGCATTCCAGCTCTAATGTAGGCCATGACCATTGAACCATATGACCTTCTGTCCAACGGTGTGCCAAGAAGCTTCATCTCTTCAAATGATTCTTCAGCCAGCTTTAGATTACCAGCCTTGCTGTACATGTGAACTAGAGTAGTTAAGGTCACCTGATCGCAAATGAAACCTCTGTTCTTCATGGCTAACAGAGTATTTTCGGCTTTTTGCAGTTTGTTTTGCTTTGCATAACCATGAATCATCTTGGTATAGTCACGCACATTAGCTTCAAACGATTCTTCAGTAAGGGCGTGTTCCACCACCTGAGAATAATTAAATTCAGAAAGTGTAACCAAGGTAAACTATATATTACATATTTTATCACAAGAATATTTAATAAAAATTCCCAGAGTGGAAATCTGTAAAACGTATTTTCTAATAGCTGCTCCATTTAATGGAAATGTATAATATTACGTGTCTCTGTGTAAACACATGCACAGTGGAGCTGTACGCTGAAAAGATTAGTTAGAATTTACATGAAAGCAGACAGAAAGCTCACTTTGCTCGACCTAGAAAAATGGTGCAAAAAGAAAAGGGCAGATTGCAAAAACTAATCAGAACAAATCATGGATTCTAAAACCCACTTTTCAAATGGCCTATAGATATCTAAAAATGCAATATCCTGATAGGTATTCGTCTTATCAAAAGCAATTCCAGCTGCAATTATCATCTGCATCATGTTCTCTTGCCTCTTGAGATTATTGTTAGAACAGGTTTCCATCTGGTTGAATCCACCAAACTATACTCTCAAGTGATTCAATCAAGAAATTTCAGGTAAGAATTGAACTTTTTGATTACAAATGTATGCCAAGAAAAGGAAAGAAACACGTAGAATAGGAAGTCATCATATGTGGGAACCATTAAGTAATACGATGGCGTCTAATTAGTATATCTATAAACTTTGTATAACAAGCTTAGTAAATAGGATAACATAATCCTTCAAACAGATTGTTAATAGAAATAAAAAGCCTTTTTGGATATTTTGGATGTGTAGCATTGTCAAATAATCCGTGCTCACCAAAATTTTAAACGTAAATTGCAATACATAAGAATTCTAAACATTAAACACTGTCAAATTAATAGCTTCATACACAGAAATATGCAGAAAAAGTATAATTAATGAAGCAGACTATCTCAGAACAAGATAACACGATTTTGATACTACCAACAGCTAACAAATGCATTAAGCAACCACATCAACAGGAAGAATTCATCAAAGCATGATACAGAATTATATGAAATTAATAAAGAAATTGGAAATAGGAAGAACATGTCATACCTCAAAATACAATGGATGATTCAACCTCTCCAATTCTTTAAGAACTGAGAGCCAATCGGCTCTTTGGGGATTCATGCTCTTCACCCATGCAGCCATCATAAGTGATATACTTCCATTTTCAGGAGAAAAGCAAATGATCTGTTTCAACAAAGCCTGACAACGATTCTCCATTTTTGGTGGGATTTGAGATATAGTCTGTTTCTGCTCCTCAGAAATATTAGACCCTATCTTAAGCCATCTGTATCTTGTTTTTTCTTCCTTTACTTCCTTAATATATTCAACTTTCTCCCCTTCATTTACACTTTTAACCATTAATAGAGGTCGAAAATCGGATTTGACTAATTTGAAACCTTTGGGGTTTCTCAAGATAGAGTTTTTCCCCGTAGGAAATTGATAAGCATTCCAAAGATTTTGAGTTTGCATAAAAATGGGATTTCCCAAACAGGAAATACTGGTAGCAAAATAACCCATCATAAAATGAAAATCAACAAGAACAATCAAACAAACAGGTAATATATTCCATCTTTCCAAACGCTGAAAAGTTAAGAAATTTTGTTCATCTCTTACGCAGCTTCAAGAACACAAGTGTTGCACCATTTTACCACCAAAACACACACGCACACGCTCACACTTATTTGCAAAGGAAAAATGCAAGTTCAAGGGAGAGAAAATTGGAGTAAATAACTGAGTAAAGTACATAAACAAGAGCAAAGAAAAAACACCGGGGAATTGAATGGGTAGTGCGAATGCTCGCATATGAAATCACAAAAATGGAATATGGGTTCAGCAATTAAACTCTTTTTTGGTGAATTTCTAACATTAATTGGTTAATAAACAAAAAAAGTTGTGGGTTGTGTCAATCAGAAACAAAAGCGGCAGGAAGAAATGGATAATTTGCAGCGAGTAGAAATGCTAACAGAGCCGATTGAGATGGGGTTTGTGAATAGTCGGGTACCACTTGAGTTAGTTGTGAGTTTTACAATTGCCCTAGACTTTGGGTTTCATATCAACTTGGTCCTCGTGCTTTGGACTTGAAAATTTAAGAAGTAAAAAAATGAACTTCAAAATATTTCTTGTTTGTAAATCAAATAAAAAATATAAACAAATATTGAAATTGCAACACACGAGAATTATAATTGGAGATCACAGTATCTGCGGGCACATGAAGAGTATCGCGACCATCTTTTTTCTCATTAACACTTAGTCAAAGCAACTTTTCAAAATAAAATGAATTTAAAAATAAAAAATGACAACGAATCTTCAACAGGACAAGGCTTCCAATTACATTTTCACTAGGAGTTGAGGAAATAAATGGGTAATTGGCGCAAAACGTCTCTACCTTTGAAAGTTTTTGTGAAAAACGTCATTATCTTTCTTTTTTGGCGCAGAACGTTCCTACTTTACACATTCTTTGCGCTGAACGTCATTTTCACCAATTTTTAACATAAAATAACTAATATACCCTTATATATAAATAAAACAAAAAAGAAAAGAAAAGAAAAGAAAAATAAAGAATAAATTGCAATCTGCTCTTAAACTTTTTAAAAAAATGCAAATCAGTCCAAAACTTATAAAAATATTAAAAATAACAAAAACACACTCTCTTCTCCTCCACCACCTCCCCCGTCTGATGACCACATCTACTCTTCTCCATCGCCACAACTTCCAGACATTGGTACCAACACAATATCCTCAACACCTTCTACAATTTCATTCTAAGAATTTCCTATATCATCCAATAATCCGGCAGAAATCAGCAAGCAAAATCAGCTATTCGAAAAATGGACAAATTGCTAGAAGTCGCACCTCCGGCCAGCAACAAGACCGCGGATCACCACCATCCGATTACCCACACCCAGACGACCTCAGCCATGTGGACAATTCATCCAAAACACTTATCCAGTATGTTCAATTTGAAACTGAAAATAACACAGTCGCGACTATCGCGCCGCACACTGAACTTGGCTAATTCCGGCGTCGTCCCTTTGACCTATGGTCGCGGACCATTCCATTCAGCACCCTCACATCATGGCGAAGCTATTCCACCCATGGGTTTTCCACAATTTTGCCGGATTCGTTAGAACTTCAGGTTAAAATCCAATTACAATTTTTGGAACATCATATTTCTCCCACGAATTGAACGCCTTCAGGTCGTAATTGATCCACCTCCCTCCACCACCTCCACTGTCTGATGACCACATCTACTCTTCTCCATCGCCACAACTTTCAGACATTGGTACCAACACAATATCCTCAACACCCTATACAATTTCATCCTAAGAATTCCCTATATCATCCAATAATCCGACAGAAATCAGCAAGCAAAATCAGCTACCCGAAAAATGGACAAATTGCTAGAAGTCGCACCTCCGGCCAGCAAAAGGATCGCGGATCACCACCATCTGATTACCCACACCCAGACGACCTCAGCCATGTGGACAATTCATCCAAAACACTTAACCAGTATGTTCAATTTGAAACTGAAAATAACACAGTCGCGACTATCGCACCGTACACTGAACTTGGCAAATTTCGGCGTCGTCCCTTTGACCTATGGTCGTGGACCATTCCATTCAGCACCCTCTCATCATGGCGAAGCTATTCTACTAATGGCTTTTCCACAATTTTGCCGAATTCGTTAGAACTTCAGGTTAAAATCCAATTACAATTTTTGGAACATAATATTTCTCCCACGAATTGAACGCCTTCAGGTCGTAATTGACCTAAACTCATGGTTGGGCTAGGTGAGCCTGGTGAATAGGGACCTAGCCTAGGTGGTCCGACAGCGCTGGAATTTGAGAAGTTCGCAGGCTGTGTTGCGACTGGCAAAGAATCTGGCATAAAATTAATTTTTTTTGTTGATGTTTGTTGTAAATTGTTGGCATGGGTGTGGTCGTTTGGTGATAGGCAATTAATAGGAGGTGAGTTCCGATCATGGGGGTGGCTGAAATGTAATTTTCGACGATTTTTAGATTTGAGGACAGTGAGCCGTCAGCATTAATTCCAACCACTACAGTTGATGAAATTGGGATGGTTGGGTGGTAATTGAAGGGGGAATTGGAGGGTTGTTGACCAGTGTCAACGTCCGGCAGCTTGGTTGGCCGAGGCTGCCGGAATTTGGAAAAAAGACAAAAAATCGCCACTTTTTTGGACTGATTTGCATTTTAAAAAAAGTTTAGGAGCAAATTTCAATTTATTCTTTATTTTTCTTTTCTTTTCTTTTCTATTTTGTTTTATTTATATAGGAGGATATAATTGTCATTTTATGTTAAAATTTGGTAAAAATGACGTTCAGCGCAAAGAATGTGAAAGGTATGGACGTTTTGCTCAAATTACCCATCTAAGCTATATAAACTTGGTGTACATTAAGTTTTACGTTCCAAATGTTGTCAAAATTTGTGCAATTGATTGTTTAAAGTGTTGTGAAGATTAATGTGTAAAAAAACACAAGAATATTATTTGTACAATTTTTTTCTAAAAATTTTGAAAAATTAAAAAGTTAATGTAAACAATATTTTGAAGTCAGATAATGATGAGCTTCATCTATTAATATATCTAATTTGTCTTAAATTTGAAACTCATTCCAGTTTTTTAACTACATTAAACTTTCTATGCAAAATAAAACATATGGAATATATTTTCACGAAGTTTCGAAGACAAAGATTGCGTCTTCATCTTCGGAGGTTATAGATGCATCTATGCAGATTATGTAAGCCACATGGTATTGAAAGGGATAATTCGAGAGATGAAACTCTAGGAATGATAAAAAAGAATAATTTCAGAATTGTTCTAAAGGTCAAGAATACAATCAATTTATTCAAATCAACAATCAATATAAAAAGTTCAATATGGATTAATATCTAGAGGTAGAATTGGTGAGCTCACTAATTTTTAAGTGATTATTGGCTTGAACAAATTGACTGGTGAACTTATAGCAATATTAGACACAAATAACTCAAATAAGTAAATCTGGAGATAATAAAACTTTAGATTGCACAATAAAAGAGCTAATAGGGATTAAAACAATTGTAAATTGAGAAGGCAGAGATTTGTGAAAAAAAAAA